GATTCAGAGACTGAAATGACAAAAGGGCAGAAAGAAGGAGAGAAGAAATCCTTGAGGGGATTTGGAAAAAAATAGCATCACTGATACTGCAGCACTTGAGGTTGCAGACTTATCAGTCCCATTTGTAACAGTTGAACGTTCAGGTTGAGTTCAGTTTAAAGGGCTCTTGGAAAAGCAGCATTTTTATTATCCCTCAAAGAAGGTTTGCACAGACAGATTTACTGTCTGCCCCTTGTCTTCCTCTGCAAGGAGAAGGAATCTCATGTAGGACTTTGGTAAGCAACATAGAGCTGTGGATCAGGTGCAGCTGTGCCAGGCTGTGTCAGATAAGACTCTGTAAGATGAGACTAGACCTGGCACCTTCCAAGGGTCCATATGTGTCTGTCTGACTACTGAACACCATGGGAAGGGGCTGCCTTCTCCTTAGGTAACACAGCTCTTGTTGAAGTCTTCTATCACCTCTGATGGCACTTTTTCAAATTAACTTGGCTTTCAGTAAAGTATCATTCTCCTCCTGATCCTATTTATCTAATTGCATTTTTGAAAAATGCTTTCTGGTTGAGTATTTGCATCACCCTACTTTTTTCTTTATTGGTACTCTTAAGAAGGCTGCCAGGTAGGCCGATGGAGCTCTGTTCTTTCAGCCATCCATGAATATTTTAGAGGAGCAATAAAACTTATTCATAGCACATTGGTTTTGCAATAAAATGATTATTAAAATTGTTAAAATTCTTGATAATTTATTTCAGCTGCTTATTTTTTCTGGCAGGTCCTTAAGAGGAAAGGAAAGAGGGGAAATATGAAACAGAAAATAGCAAGTTAAAATTAATCAAATAATATTCCTTCCAAGTTTACAGTAACGAAGTGTTAGCAGTCATGCTGAAGAATTTCTCTGCACACAAAGCATCGTTCAGCTTCTCCTTATTAGATCATCTTTATGAAGCGTCCACATTATTTGTTCCCTTGAGAGCTCCTGGTATTTGCAGAATTACTTTAAATGTGTTAAATATGAATATTTTGAATTAAGTGCTTTTAAAATAGTCTTTTGAGGGACAGCTGCACGATCAGCAATTAAAGACGAAATAAGGGTTACCCATAACCATTGCACCTCATCTTTGGCTGCTCTCTGTGTTAGTTCCCAGAGTGGTTCTTGGCCCCATTTTTCCATTCAGCCTGAAGTGCAACTGAGATGTGTCTGCACAATGGATGCATGAGGGGTGGGTGGTGAGTTCTCCTGTCTGGTATAGCTGAGCTTTAAATTCCAAGAGGTGGAGTTGATGCCTTTCTAAGAAAAAATTAAAAAAACCCAAACTGTTTCTGTGGAAAACAGAACAAATACTTCTTTCACTTCCCCCTTAGAGCTGTGTTTTTCAGAGATATCTTTGGTAGCTGGTTACCTCTACATCCCTATTCCTAGGGAAACAAATGCAGGCAACCGCTAACAGGTCCCTCAAAGACAATGATGCTGAGTGGTTTGACTTCAAGTTGGTGGCACACTCTGCATTTACTGATTGTTGGCAACAGAGAGAGCTGGGCCCTGCCAAGGGGACCTGTCAGATAAGCCAACAGAGCTGTAACTCCCACTTTTGCTAAGAGAAAGGAATATGGCTGTCCACTGAAGTTCCTAGCAAGCTTCCTTTCATTCATTATGCTGAGGTTACAGAGAATAGTGTGTGTGATGATTCAGAAACCTTTTTTTCTTTCTTTGTTTCCTTAGTCTATGTTTAAAGGCTTGCTTTTAGTAGTTTCTTGTTCATTTTCTTTTTAAGCCTGTCCTTGGAGCCTAACCTTCCAGTGGAAGTGGTATTTAGGGAAAAGGCTACAAACTTTAAACAGACTTTTTTCAGAGGTTCATAGAGAAAGAATTTGCCCATACTGCTTCTTTTGTGGTTCTTGAGGAAAACTGAAATCTATCCTAAATATGCAATGCAGCAGATAATTCCTGTGGAACATATAGAAGTCCAGCATGGTTAACAATTTATAGCAATTAGGGTTTAATTTGAACTTAATAAAAGGTATGGTTTTCTGTCTGTGTGGTAAGGTTATGCTTAAAGTATTTGACCCATTTTTGTAAATTGTGTATTCATTAACAGTGTATTTCATATACAGTTCTAATTGTAATCTTTTTAACAACAAAATTCTGTTGTAAAGAAGCACAAATGAGTTTTTCCTATAAAGTGCATATCTAGACTTATTCTAATTTAAACTTCAAATGTGATTTTTAAAACTGACCCTCTAAAACTTTTTATTTACCCTGATGTGTCTTGTTTCAATCTTGCTTAAATCAGTAAGCAATTAAATCCAAATATGAGGATGCATAGACAGGGTTATATAGACGTAAATGAGCTTTTAAAATGCTTTAAAATTACTTTGAGTGACTTCCCTATATAAAACCTTGTAACCTGAGTGATGTATTAAATTAAAGCTAAATCAAAGGGTAGCACATGAGAGCAGTCATATGCTCACTCTTGAGGAGTGAAGGGTTTACAAACAGATTTCTCTCGGGGAAGAAAAGCAATTGACACCCAATTAGTTAAAGCATATTCCTAAAGCTCAATGACTCGAGAGCAAATTACGGTTGTCATTGTGGATTTGTGAAGTGTGCTGAACCATGATGCATTCCTTCAGAGGGAAGTTGCTTAGACATGAAAGTATTAAAAAAAAGCAGAGCATGTAAGAGTTCTCCATGCTTCTATAATATCTGAGCTTCAATAAAATAAATTTGTAAAGTAACCATGAAGTCAGCTGGATGCATTTTTATGGATTCCTGCTGCTTGTTACAAACCTGTTGATGACTCACCGAGCTTTGAACAGAAATGCAGTATATCAGTCCCTTCCTCCCTGCAATTGGTGGGCCCTTGGCTTTGTAGCTGTAAGCTGTCACAGAGATGGTCTGTGCCTGAGCAAAACAAAGGGAGAGAAGGGGGTTTGCTGCTTGACTAGGAAGAGGTGGGCATGTTGATCTCTGTCTCTGTCTGTCTCTGAGAAGGGCTTTTCCTCTTCAAGTGGAAGCTCAATGCTGTGTGATAGTGATCAAGGAAACCCTCATCAGCAAGGGACCTTTTCAAACTTCATTCCTCTTTCTTTATTTGCATGTCCTTCATATGAAATAGCCCCAAGCCTGGACTTTATTATCAGTCAACCATTTTTGCATGATTATGCAAGAGGGGGAGAACAGCTGTCATTTACAAATATACATGAGTCTGGGAAATAAGCTTATTACTTTTTTCAACTCATTTAAGAAAAGCCTATTTCAATGTGGTGAAGCAGTACAGCTGTACATCAGAAAAGGCATCACCTATTCACAGCCTGCCTTAAGGTCTTGATCTAGTATGCTTCAGCAAACACAGGATCAGGTTCCCTCATAGCAATGCCCCAGCCTAATGCACCAGCCACGCACTTAGACCTGGCATCCTGTCTCTGTGTGCAATGCCCAGGGCAGCTGCCTGCCCAGGACATGGTGCTGCCTGCCCAGGACATGGTGCTGCCTGCCCAGGACATGGTGCTGCCTGCCCAGGGCATGGTGCTGCCTGCCCAGGGCACGGTGCTGCCTGCCCAAGACATGGTGCTGCCTGCCCAGGGCATGGTGCTGCCAGCCCAGAACACAGTGCTGCCTGCCCAGGTCATGGTGCTGCCTGCCCAAGACATGGTGCTGCCTGCCCAGGACATGGTGCTGCCTGCCCAGGACACGGTGCTGCCTGCCCAGGTCATGGTGCTGCCTGCCCAGGTCATGATATGCTGCCTGCCCAGGACACGGTGCTGCCTGCCCAGGACATGGTGCTGCCTGCCCAGGGCACAGTGCTGCCTGCCCAGGTCATGATATGCTGCCTGCCCAGGACATGGTGCTGCCTGCCCAAGACATGGTGCTGCCAGCCCAGGACATGGTGCTGCCTGCCCAGGGCACAGTGCTGCCTGCCCAGGGCACAGTGCTGCCTGCCCAGGGCACAGTGCTGCCTGCAGGCACAGCAGCTGTGTCCCCAGGGGCACGAGGGCTGTGGCACGTCTGCAGGCATGGTGAGGCATGGGGTGAGCAGGCAGTGTCACCCATCTGCAGGTGTGGTGAGGCGTGGGGTCAGTAGGCAGTGTCACCCAGGACCAGCTGGAGGCTCACATCACGCGGCTTGCTCGGCTTCCATCATCCTCTTGATTCAGCAGCTTCAGTGTGGTCCTGAATAAGGATGCTTTTCTCGACTGGAAGCAGAAACTACTTAGTGACAAAGTAATTAAATCACGCTGCTCATGAAAAGCCCTCACTGTTAATTTACGGTATTCGTTCGAGCTCCCAGAATACAATCATTGAAACAAAGACTGAATTGAGAACAAAAGGAGGGAAGTTCTTGAGAAATTTAAATATAAAACAAGTTTTATAACAATTTGAAATGTGTCTGCTTGATTTAATTGGTTTTAAGGAACCCACTCCAAGGTTCTAGGTACATTAAGACAATTTGAGCATTTTTTGATTTTCTTTCTTTGCAAGTTTATTACTTAAGGATAGGTTAACAGTTTTTACCACAGATATTGAGAGCCTTATGAGATAAAGGGAATCTTTATATTTTTTCTGTTTAGTGCAAGTTATGAAAACCTTGTTCTTTGTCTTCTGTAGCTGACACAGAATATAGGAAAGGGTAAGGAAAGATGAAGGTAGACTCAGCCATAAAGAAGAGAGAAATCTTAAAATAAGTATGAAATCAGGAAGTCCAACAGGAAGCTCTCACAAACTTAATGGCTGCTAACTCTACATTTTGTGATAGGGAATTGAAACTTGTATAAAGTCTCATAAAGTACAATAAAGAAAAAAAGTGTATTCACATTATCTCTTACTTATTTCAACATGAATAGTAAAAGATTTTGTTTTATTTTAGAAGATTTGTCTGTCATTGCTCTACTTTTATTCTTTTTCAGGTAGTAATATTAAACTTGTATTACCTATTAAACTAAATAATACTGGTATAAATTTTATTTTAATTTACTCACTTAGTTTGACCATCTTCTCTTTGCAGGAACCGCATCCTTCTCAAATAAGACCTGAAAGTGGTCCACAAGCAGGTGGAACCAGACTTACCATCTCTGGTATAAATCTGGCCACTGGTTCCAAGAAAGATGTTCAAGTTACAGTCGGTAGCCAGCCTTGCAATGTGTACGTAGCCTGAGTAACTAAAAATACAGAGCTGTGTCCTAAAAAAGCAGCAACCTTTTCTGCCCTTTATAAATTAAACAAGTCCTTTGTCTCTATCTTTGTGACTCCTCCCATGCAATGGAGTTCTGCATGCAACATTCAGACAGAAACTCACTTAGAGGCTTCGGTGGAAGGAGCAGCTATAAAAACATCTTAAGTGGGAGAATCTAGATGTCCAATAATTTCTCCACTTTTGGCTTTCTCTGGTAGACTGGCTTCTTCAAACCCACCCATGCTTTCACTCAGCATGTCCTCAGTGGTTCTGTATAAAATATTAATTTTCTAGTCTCCCATGGTGTGTTCCTCTCCCTTTTTTTCCTTTTATTATTTGTTGCCCTTGTCTTTTCTCAAAAAAAAAGGAAGGATACTAAGTGTGCTGACATTGCATTGCTCCTGTGTTTGTACACTGTTCATTGTTACATCCTATATCTCTTTTGTTTAAAAGCTTATGTGAACTGATGGAAATGTTATCTCCTCTCATAACTACTGTACCCAGCAAAAATAGAACTCTGGTATTTTTGTTATGGAGTATACAGTAAGAGAATACCAAACTCCATCATGTTAGTAACAGGAGATGTTTCCTCTTCTTTTTCTTCTTCAATCTAGTACTGAATTTGGAGATGAGATCATCTGCATTACAGGACGTAACAATAAGGTTGAACCTGTTCTAGTCACAATGAACTATGGGGGCACAAGAATTATTGTACCACAGCTGTTCACATACAGTGAGAATCCTACTGTCACCAAATTCCTGCCAGTAAACAGCTTCAGCAGGTAACGAAATGTTTGCCATACCTTTCTTCACAACTGGTTTAAAATATGTGTAATAGGTAATAAAAATATTAAATATAGAATTGTTTGGGATAAACTCCTATACTCTATCAATGCACAAATTTAGTAGGTAGAGCTTGTGGTCTTAACTGCAATTGATGTTTGAAAGAATTCTGTTTACATCCAATTTTTATCCCTTTTCAAAGGTCAATATAAAAAGTGTAGCATCATGACCTAACAGAACATTAAAAATAAATTTGGCTGTGGCTTCTCGTGGTGATATTAGCACCTATCTTCTTGAATATTGAGTAATCACTTGTGTAAAACAGGATTTGTTTTTAATGTTTCCTTTTCATTTTTGGTTGGGTGACTTTGGGGCCTGGAATTTTTCTTTGATAGATCAATAGTGATTTACCCAAAAGAATTCAAATTACTTTTTTTTACTTCTATGTAAACTAAAGCCTATTTTTATGGATTGCTTTGAGGTTTACTATCCCTCTAAATCCATGTCACTTCAATGACTTTAATTCCCACTGGAAAATTGCATTCATTCTTCTTCTTCTTATGTGAATGTATTATTTTTTAAACAATGTGCTGCAAATAAAAGGGAATGGAGAAGCCAGGTCCCTACAGACCTGTGGAAAATATACTCCCAGCTTTGTCTCTATGTGTATATCGTAGGCAGAGTGATTTTAATAGTAACATTGGAGAAGTAAAGCACACAAAGATTGGCATCAATGTACAGCCAAAAATCCTGGCAAAGCAATTTGTATTTTTTGCAATTCTGCTGTTTTAAATAGAGTTTTAAGTTGACATTGATCTTTTAAATGCTTTTGTCATCAATAGCTTTAACAGAAGTCCTTTTTGTAGGGTATCAGATGTCATATAGGCGTTACATATAGGGTTTTCCAGTGGAAGCAGTAGCAGTGCAGGATGAAGCAGTCTGTAGCTGTGGTAGTCTGCCAATGACTTGACTTCTTTTTTAATTCTGCCTTGCAGTGGAGGAAGAAATATTACAGTAACTGGAACTGGTTTTGAGCTCATCCAGTCTTTCTCATTGGTGATATATGCAGAGCGTCCAGAAGCAGGGAGGATGAATCAAAAAAAGGTAATTTTCTTTCTTTTCCACCGAAGGCATAATACTGGATGTACAACATATAATCTGTTCAAAAACTGCATATAAACATTCCCACTGGACTCCACTGGGCTTGGACTGAAATAAGGTTTGAACAGATTTCTGAGTCTGTTCAGGGTGTTCCTGTGGAAGATCTTGACTTTCCTACCATCTTGCCTTATATTCACTTGCACTTCACAATCTTCTGCTCTAAAATTAATTTAATTCAATATGGATAAGGATAAAATATGTCTTTCAGAATTTTGAAGTGTTTGTTTTTTCTTTCTCCTTCTTCCCCCCTGCAGCCATTAGCAATTTCCCTGAAGCAGGATCTAAATCTAGATAATGCAGACTACTCAGCTTTGCACAATCAGTGCCTTTTATTTTCTGACAACTCAATGAACCAAGTCTTCTTTTCTTTTTTGGTCTGTTTTTGGTTTATTTTGTTTTTTGGTTTGGTTTTTTTTTTTGCTTCATGTATATTCCACCTGCAACAGGTCACAAAAAGTTGTAAAAAATAGCATTAAAAAACCCCTTCTTGCATCTCCTGTTAAGAGGAACTGACATTACCAATAGCATCAATTTCCCCCTCTTCTCGTGAAGATCACAATTTAATTGATTTAGACCAAAAAGTGATCTTCCAGTAAGAACATTATAAGACTCTTGCTAAGGCTGGCTCTTCAGTGTAAGACTGTCTTGTGATCCATAAAGAGTTTGTAATGTGCATGTTTTGTACTATATGCATGACTCAGCTTTTAGAGTATGCCAAATTCAGCAACATTGGGATACATTGGCACCCTATTCCTAAAGATTTTTAAGAGGAAAACTACATTTTTAGGCCATAAACTTCAAAAGGTAATTATCTTGATAATCTTGACTCCCAGGACAATATAAAGTCTATTTAGCATTCTTGACAGTGTTTATCAACATTTCTTACACCTCCTCTTATATATGCTCAACTCGCTGGCTTAAGTCAGCATTACCTATAGCACACATTCTTTGTTAAGACTTTGAAAACTACTCAGCTTTTCTAATCTTTTGGTTTGCTTTCACTTACATGACAATATCAGAAATGTTGGGGAGAAGCTGTCTAGTTGCATTGAGTCATGAAATGAGAAACAGAAGTGGTGATAGAATAAATATTGAGGATTCCTATTAGTGTTGTTGCCTGTGGTTGATGTTACTGAATGACTGAAAGTGTCAGGGTAAAAACATTTGTTGAATTGGGGATGGAGGACAGGTGAACTGAGGTGCTACTTTAAGTGGTTAAGTGACAACTGTGGAATTTTATTCCAAAATGTCACTTAATGATTGTATTGAAATCCAGTGAGGTGTTATATGATGTAAGCAGAAAAGAATCAACCCAAGCTACTCAAAGGTACAGAAGATGATCAGGATTAAGGGTGACATGTTAACTTCCTAATCTGAGAGGAACTTGACAGTATCATCCCAGTGGGAAAGAGCCACTCAAATTGGAAGCAATGGAAACTGACCTGTAGCCCAAGCTTCTTCTGCAGGCAAGCTTCTTCTGCTGGAATACAGTGAATCAATGATTTATTGCCATCAACAAATTTATTTCATCTTCTTTTTCAAAAATAGTTCATACTGTGTTATTTCTGCTGTATGGAGAGGATATAAATTCAGTGGTTTTGTTTCTACAGTCTAAAGTTATCAACAGTTATGTACAGAAAGGAATCAGACTTTAAAATGTGCATGTTCCTCTTCTTGTCTTCTTTCTTACAGTTTTATGGAAAGGATGTTACAAGGCTTAATGAAACGACAGTGGTTTTTTCTTCCCCACCAATACTGGAAGACCCAGAAAACTATAACATTACCACTGTTATTCTAATGGATCATTATAAGTTGGTTGTAAAAAATGAGAGCCACTCCTTTGCCTATGTTGCAGACCCAACTTTTGAAAACTTCACAGATGGCATCAAAAAACAAGTCAACAAACTTATTAATGCAAAGGTAAACTTGTCAAAAGTTGGTGCTTGCTCATTTTGTCCTTGAAGCATGTATGGAATTTTTCGTTCCTTTCTCAAAGGCTTAACAGATGTTTTGTGCCATACCCCAAATTCTTGGTAGAGTTCCTTACCTCTGCTGGATGATGAACATTGACAGCTCCCCTTTCCTCCCCACACCCTTTCTCAGAAAGAGTGCCTATCTTTTTTAGCTGTATTTTGGGTTTGCTGAGGATGCCCCCCTCCTGCTGAGTCTGGCATTTGCATTTGGAAATGCCCTCCCCAACAGACCTCCCAGGAACTGGAAGGGACATCTCATCTCACACCAGGAAGGAAGGGAGGGGAATCACTTAATTCTCAATCACCCTGCTGTTCTGTAAGCTGCAGTGCAAATCATATCTGCTGCTGAAAGTGATCCAAATTGAAGGTTGCAATTCAGGATTTCTTGTCCCACATGACTTTGTGATGATAACTCAGCCTTTTATTTTCTGTCTAGGGCAGTAACCTGAACAAAGCCATGACGATAGATGAGGCCCAGGCTTTTGTGGGAGATGAGCCTTGCAATATAAAAACTCTAACTGAAACGGACTTATATTGTGAGCCACCAGAAGTACAGCCTCAACCAAAGAAACGGCAGAAGAGAGATACCATCAATAACCTTCCCGAATTCATTGTACGTTTCCTTTTCTGTAGAATTTAGTTTCACATATCAATAACACTGTTACAGTGCCTCTTGACTGAAGTAATTTGTTCTCCAAAGTTGTTGTAGTACTGTGAAGAAACTCTTTGCAGTTCTTTCTTCCTCCAGCTTCTGCCTACTGTATAAAAGATGTCACACGTAAAGAGCAGTCTCAAGGCTGCCAAATACCTTCATTATATCGAAATTTAGAACTCTAGCCAGACAGACTGGGGATTTTTCTTCCTCAGCTGAGCAAAATTAAATTACTTCATGGAATAAAGTGCTAGTGACCCAAAGTCGGTTTAAAATATTCAGAAGTATTTCCTTTGTTTGGACATTTGAGCTAGAAATTCACTTGTGAAAATTACTAAGAATTTAGAGCACAACTGAGAAGTGGACGACCTTACATTTGCACTTCTTGAGACAAATGTCTGTTTTTATTTAATTAGGTAAAATTTGGACTCCGGGAATGGATCCTTGGAAGGGTAGAATATGATAACCGTGTGAGTGATATCCCACTGAATCTAATTTTGCCACTGGTACTTATTCCTATGATAGTAATCATCGGCATTTCTATCATCTGCTACAGGTAAGTTCTTCTAATTAGGTGCTTTTGTTTTCCTAAAGCTTTCAAGGTACTACCTGATTGTTTTCAGCTCAGTCTACAGAAACTGTCTTCATCTTTTTTATGAGCTGCAGAGTTTAGAAAAGGAGTTACAGCTGGAAATATGTATGAGCACCAATTTATTCCTCTCACGCATGCCAAATTCCTTGGTGTCAGTCAGCCCAGTCCCTCCTTTATATATAAACACAATTGGTCCCAGGCTTCCCAAGTAAACAACTGCAGACTGAGTGGCACACATACCCTTTTGAAATGGCAGCTAAAGTGGCACTTGTGGAGGAGGTAACTTATGGATAACTTATTCTGTATAAATACCCAAGAACATTTATGCTGCTTCAGTCAGCACTGTATGTTCGAGCTGGTTGTTTTTTACTAAGGGATCATTTTCATTTCTCCAGCTAATTACCTACGCACAAACTCGATCATTAATGTTGGAATTCATGCTTCATAAAGGGCCAGAATATCTGTCTGTATCTCACTTAAAACCTACTTAGTCCAATTTTAAGGTTAGTAATGAGAGCCTCATACTGTCTCTCAGGAAGGGGTGGATGTGCTATACAGTTCTTGTGAACCTCCATCACACCTTCTGAGTTTGATCCCAGACACCGTCCTGGGTGGCTTAGAGCCAGTACAGGACATGTTGCAAGCAATCCTTGCTCAAACTGAGTTCCTGTACTTGATATATGATTGAAAGCATTTGTAGCTACTTCTTACTGGATTTTAAATTACTGGCCCAAGTCTGCTTTGAAGCAACCAGCCCATGATAGAGCCAAGTTGCTTTACATGGAATGAAGATTTTGGCCACTGTTGCTGTTTTTCTCCTCCACTTTCTTTCTGCTGTATTTTAAAAAATCAAATCCATGAAAATTTCTTCCAGTCCTTGAGCTTCCCTCTCAGAGCTGTTGCAAATTATTTACTTTTGCATTTTGTAACTTTTTTTTAATCTTACCTCTGTTCCACAAAGACGCAAGAGCCAACAAGCAGAACGAGAGTATGAAAAAATTAAATCACAACTTGAAGGCCTGGAGGAGAGTGTCAGAGACCGGTGCAAGAAGGAGTTCACAGGTATTACAGATATTTTCACTGCTGTGGGTCCTCTTCAGCAATCAAGACATGCTGGAGGAATGGTGCTAGCTCACTAGAACTGTCTTCTGGGAAGAAATAATCTATACATCTTAGTAGTCTTCATTACTGCCATTGACATAGAGCAGATATTTTGCTACTATGTGTGAGAGAAGTAAATAAAATAAAATAGGTAGCTGAGGTTATTAAAATAGCTTGATTATTTTAGTCTAAAGGAAGAACAGATTTAGAAATTGGGAGTAGAAACTAGCTGAGATTGGGGTTACTTATAGCTATTAATGTAATTGGCCATTTACAGAAAGATAAGAATGTTTTGTAGTGATTAACAGTGCACGTAATATTTAGCACAAATGACTGTGTGTGCAATGTATGCACATCAAAAACTGTTTTCAGAGCTGCAAAATTTATTTGCAGTCATCAGCATACAAAGGGATAATTTGGTACACTCACAGAAAAAAAATAGCATTTTGCCCTGTTCACCATGGGAAAATCTTAAGCTTGATTAGAGGAGCTAGCTAATTGTTCTGTGTAAATGTAGAGGCATCATCCCAGGGAAGGCAGCAGGACATGTGAAGGCTCAGCATTTTTGCATGTTGGACTACTCATCACAACACTTAAATTAGGCATCTGAGTGCAAACTTTGCAAATATTGGCCTAAATGATTACCATGAAATGTCACCTCATTATCTGAATTATACTTGCTGTTGGGTCATGTTGAAATAATTTCTATTAAAAAAATACCCACATGCTTTATTGCCACAGAGAAAATACTATTTCATATTGACAGTGGCTAAAAAGCAAGATTGAATAAAACAGCAATTTCAGGTTAGAGTTTCACATTAATTTAAGAAATTCAGGATATCTTAAAGATTTCAGCCATCCTGGAAGCCTCCCTCAGTCTTGTTTTTCTGGCATTTCTGGGACAGGATGTTCTTTACTTGTACAAGCTCGCTTTCTCTGGAAAACCAACTCCTTCCAGGTTCTGGACACAAACTAGAAGCAAATGTTTGAGTCAATCCCAAATGAGCTTCATTTCAAACTGCATTTTGAACTGTGAGAGGATCTATCAAGGTTCTCCTTCCCTCTCTTCATCTCTCCCCGGGCACTTCATACCCATTTCTGAAAGGGGAAGGTACCTTTCTCTTGCTGGGGCAAGAGTAGAGAGTTACACATTCCTACTACATGTTGGGTTGAAAGTTTTCTCTCTGCTCCACGAAGTACAAGCACTGGGGGAGTAGAATGCACATCCAAGGAGTAATCCAGTTCCTAAACTACATCCACCTTGACTTAACAGTTAAATGAAAACACATAAGTCAAAAGACATTCTGGTTCCATACTGTGAAACAGTAATGTCAACAGCACAAAGTGCAAACTCTCTAAAATACACAAGAACAAAGCCAAGGAAAGGGACAACAGGAAGAAAGTTATAATACCACACAGAGGGAAACAAGAAGATTCTTTATCCCTCATCTTTGATGAATGCTATAAAATAAGGAGGCAAATGAATGAGCAATAAAACCCCTGAGAAAATAGGTCGCTATATTAATTAACATGGTGTTCCAATCAATCAGCAGTATTGGGTAATTGGAAAGCCTTCAGCTAGAGTAGCTGCTCCAAAGGATGACTCTAATTTTTGTTCCTTTTAAAAACTTCAGGCTTTTGAGTCCCGCAGAAATACTTCCATCCATTTCAGTGAACCATTTAACCTTCTTCCTTTCTGCCATCCCCTTCCTTTCTATTAAATTAGCTTGCTTTACACTTTAAACCTCTCTTTCCTGGATTGCTGTGTTTTTAAAATAACTTTCTGTACTAACTAGACTCAGAGGTTATAGAATATGGATTGGGAAAAAAGAAAACTTAAACCAAAGCAAGACGAAAAATATTGAAATGTCTTTTTCTAGTTCTGTGCTATAATCCTACATTCATCTATATGAACTCACACAGTTACCATAAAGGTCCTTTTACAGATAGGCAGCAACAAGGAAGCCATCAGTGCTAAAGGCAGTTATCCTCATGTCACCATAGGATTAGCTGTGGTTACAGTTAATAGGATGATTGTTAAAAATAGCAAGAGAAAATGTGAGATGAAATAAGTTTTTACTGCTGAGTTGCTTTTTCACTATTACAAGGCACTCAAAGAGCTTGTGTTGCTTAAAAAACCTGCAGAATTTTTAAACTGAACCATTAAACTGCATTGCATATTGCAGATCTAATGATAGAGATGGAGGATCAGACAAATGATATCAACGAGGCTGGAATTCCGGTACTAGACTACAAAACATACACGGACAGAGTCTTCTTCTTGCCCTCCAAAGATGGAGAGAAAGATGTGATGATTACAGGAAAGCTGGATATTCCTGAGGCCAGGCGTCAGACCGTGGAGCAGGCTTTGTACCAGTTCTCCAACCTCCTCAACAGCAAATCATTTCTCATTAACGTGAGTACTGAAGTAGATGCACGTCATCTCTTAGCTAGGAATACCTGTGGGTATGTGTGCAAGACAGCAGGCTTGCAAGCACAACTGAACAAAAATTAATTAAAATAAGTGATTTTCATGTGGTTCTGATTTCACAGTAACCACTGCAGATATGTGGCATCACAGCCAGAGCTCCATGTTAGATCTCACATTTCTGTGCCATGTCATGTAATATGGAGTTAGTCAGCATTGCAGTGCCTGTAAAAAGCAGCTATTTCCCAATCTGGCATAAAAACTGGTGTTACAAGTTTGGTTTAGCCTTTTAAGAAATGTGATCAGAGAGTGCTGATTCCATCCTGGCTCCCCACAGGAGTCACCTGTGGACAGCCATGTATCAGAATCTCTGCCCCAATGAAGGTAGAGGCTCCTCAAGTGGCCTATTCAACAAGACTGATGAGTGCTCACAGCTGCTCTGAAGAGACTTATAATTGCTCACTCTCAAATACTGAAGCTCATTGTCACACCTAAATATAGATTTAGTCTTCTAGCTTTTTCTCTTTTTTTTTTTTCCTTTTTAAACGAGGATCTAGTGCTGAGCTAGTTAATGGTAGAATTAGAGTTCATGGTAGATGAGAGCACATTTACAGGTGTACTTACATTAGTGTCTTTGTAATGTGATGTGAAAGGACTGGGAATTTGGGGGAGAGGGGAGTTAATTTTCTCTTTTAAAATTGTCATGGAGCACTATTTTGCATTTAATTAAAACATCCTTTTTAGATAAGCTTTTAGATAATTATGTAAGCATTCCTTAGGTCGATCTAGTACACTGTATATCTAAAATCAAAATTTAGGCAACATTTTTGTATAAGTTCTTTCAAACTTCTGAAAACTTTTTGATTCAGTGCTTAGGAGATTTAATATTAAAATAATATTTCTTGTCTTCTTAGAGCAGACAAGTGTTGAGGTTCTTCAGAAACCTGTAATCTGACTTCGTTTCACATCTTTTTCTTTTTCAGTTTATTCACACGCTGGAAAACCAAAGGGAGTTCTCTGCTCGAGCTAAAGTGTATTTTGCATCTTTACTGACTGTCGCTTTACATGGAAAACTAGAATACTACACTGACATCATGAGGACGCTGTTCTTAGAACTGATGGAGCAGTATGTTGTGGCCAAAAACCCAAAGCTGATGCTAAGAAGGTTTGAATGATTGTCATATTTTCTGTATGTCTCTGGCTTTCTGTAAATGTGTTTCTTCTGTGATGTGACTGTGGTGAAATGCCGGCTATCTGTAAAATCAGAAATAACTTGGCCCAAGCATATTAGCAAGACAAGCCCACCAGGAGCAGCTGTGGAAGGCACCAGCAGGATGCTGGACAGGACTGCTTATTCAAATACTGCAGTGTAGAATCACCTGCCTTACTTTGAAATACCACACGGAACATTTCATTTACTTTTTAATCTAACTTTATTCCTAATGATCTAGCATTTATACCACACATCACCTCCATAATGAGTACACATAATCAGCTACATTGTGCATTCAGTGAGGGCTTGCTCTAGCGTTTTAACCCAGCTGTTATTCCCAATAAATTTCAATAGATCTTGCTCTGTGTAGTTGTAGTTTTGTAATCTGTAGGTTGTTTCCCAGTAACTGCACAACTGGGTTAAGTTTTTAGCTGTCACAGGGTAGACCCAATTTAAGATTTTGAATAAAGGATGTGTGCTTTTCAGCAGTGAGATGAAGGCACCTACTCAGGACTGATGAGCAATACAAAGCACTTATCCTAAAGCAAGTATATGCTTTCAAGACTCTATAGGGAAATCATTGCATTAGAAGACTGAATGCAGTTAAGCATGTAAAAATATTATATTTCAAGCAAGCAGTGGGGGTGTTTTTAAACCTTGTCATTAAGTGCCCTTACTATATTCAGGGTTGTTGTTTTGGTATTTTTTTCAGATCTGAAACGGTTGTTGAGAGAATGTTGTCTAACTGGATGTCCATTTGTTTATATCAGTACCTTAAGGTAAGAGTTGAAGACTGTTGCCTGTGGCGGTTTTCTTTAATCAGTAATACTTTAAAAAGCTGCACTGAGTATGTCTTTTGATTTCGTCTTATTTATTCCCTTTCCTTTACATAGGACAATGCTGGGGAGCCTCTTTATAAATTGTTCAAGGCTATCAAACACCAGGTAGAAAAAGGCCCAGTGGATGCTGTGCTGAAGAAAGCAAAGTATACACTGAATGACACAGGCTTACTGGGAGATGATGTGGAGTACACACAGTTGGTAAGCAAAGCATCATTAATAGATTTTAAAATAATTTTTTATTTTAAAATTAATTCCTGTAGTGTTAAATCTGTACACGGTTTTCTAGACTACTGCAAACTGCATAAAAATTCTGGTCATGGACAAGATTGTCAGTAGTTTGACTGAAGCAAGTCTCCAAGCAAGAAAAAAAAATTATAAAGTATCTTCTAAAGTAAAATTCAAATTCTGCCAGTGCAGAATCCATTTCAATAAATCCTTTTCATACTTTTCAGTCGGTCTGAAAAATGGTCAGGATGTTTGGCTCCTACCCATTTCCCATCTAAATTCATTGGCAATTGATTTTTGCAGAATTCTTGCACTGCCATTATGCCTGAACTTCAGATTTTCTCCCTTGTGATTGCTGCTAATCAGCATATTGAACAGCATTTTAGAGATCATTTTATTAATATACCAGATTGTGCTCCTCTGCAGTCCTGTGAGATGGCTCTGCAATCTCCAGAGCACTTTATGAACCTCTTTCTACATTGTTTTCTGTGTGAGTCAAGATCTCCTGAACATGGGCAGCCTAACTGGCATTGAAAGTTGTTTATTTTATTCTCGGGAAAATAATTCCCTACAGTGTCTCTACAGCCAGTTCTGGAGACCTGTGTTAGTGGCTTCAAGTGGGAGGAAATGGAGATTCCTGGCAAGGGAACTCCCCCTCTGAACTCAGCCTCCCCCTGTATCTGACCACCAGTGCCATGGTCCAGTTCTTTTCTATTAAGAATTCTGCTTTAAATTAATTCTGTTCATTGTCAGAAATTTTCACCACTTTTCAAATATACTCCAGAACAGAGATACACTGTCCTTTTTGCAAAAATTTAAGCAGCCCACTCTTTAGCTCCTCAGGGAGTGTAAAATCTAGTTTTACTCTTTCTGACAGTCTTGCTGGTTTTCTTCAGGGCACAGTGTAGTGAACATCAAAGATGCACAGACTGTCCTTCAGAGACCAATTCATTATTTTTTTCCCTTTCTAACTTCTTTTTTATTGACATTTTAGGAGTCATTTGTAGTTGTATTCAACTGAGAAAGATGCAGAGACATATATGCAACATACAAAAGAAATGTAATAAAAAGCTTTATTTAGTCCTTGCTTGGGGGGGAAAAAGTCACCATTTTATGTATTCTGAAAGGATGCTGATGGGAGGGCTGATGGAAGAAGAGTTCTGTAGAACTTGCTCTCATGAAGTCACCAGACTCTGACCTAGAGTATCTGGATGAAGAATGTGTTGGGCAAGAAGAAATTTTAAGTTTAACTGATATTTTGGGGATTAGTTTAGGTACATCTTTATAAATGCCATCCAGAGAAAACACACTGATTGGCGATGCTGGCTATAATTTCTGTTGTGTATGGAAAGCAAAACTGTACAGCATGTAAGTCTTAATGGCAATAATTCTTTATTTGCGCTGTTTCTTTTCATTAAAAAAAAGAACCTGCAATTAAGCTATATGACTCAGTGTGAAGCAGAAAATTCATGAATGCAATCAGATGTGGGCACAACATGCATATTAGCTAGATACTAAACATTATAACATTGTGCAGAAGCAGCATTTGGTCCAGACTTACAGATTTCCCATCAAACAAATATTTTATGTATGTGCATGCAAGGAAGTTGATGAGATGTATGTATATGTGTACATATATATGATAAAAGATTATGGAGGGGGTACTATTGCCATTAGTTTTTGGGATCTTTAGCATGATGATGATGTTGAACAGTTAGGGAGCATTTGTGCACCAATGTAGGTTAAAGCATAAGTTAATTCCTTCACTTCTGCCTGAAAGTGAGACAAGGTGGGTAAGTACAGCATAGAGCAGTTGTCTGCTCTCTAATTGTTCTTATTTAAAAGATGAATCTGTTTTGCATCACTGGTTACACTGACATGCTGCATACTGAACCAGCAGCAAAATCATGTCTAATTACCATAAAGCTAATAGGAAAAGGAAGGTGAAATCTCATGATTAGTTTGAGCAGTCTGTCAAGGGACAGTGCAATCATGTTTAATTTGACTGCCGTATGGCATAGCCTTTCTTCACTTTCTCAAAATACCAGCTATGCAAGTTTATTTCTGAGGTCTGATGTGATAAATTCAGGCATTGTGCTTGGCAGGACTGTATCTGAGGGCTGCAGTGCTTCACATGTGCCTGGCCTCCTAACTTACCTGACTGGCAAAAGATCCACAAGGACTCTAAGCTGTAATACTGATTCAGCTAGTGAAAGAAAGATGCTTTTCATAATATTTTATTGGGGTCTTTTTTTTTTAGGGGGGGGGGTTTCCCTCTGGGGAGGTATTCTGGCCATGGTTTTCTTATTTTTGTCTATATTGAAACTGACACTTATATAGCAAAACTTTTCAAAAAAATCACTCTAGATTTAGCAAATTACAGGTTTTCAAGAAATTCTCTTTAACATTAAGAAAACCATGTCAATACTATCAGAAAATAGTCATATTTAAAATGCTAGAACTAGCATAAGCTATTTAGGTGTATTCCCTGCAGCTATTAGAGTTATTAGGACAACAGTAGGCAGTAAATGAGGTATTCAAATACATAAGATGATAGAAATTACTTTTATATATACATATGTGTATATGTGTGTGTTTAATGAGCAGGAGGTAACAGGAAGTAAAGTTTGGAGAGGTGAACTACTCACTGCTCATCAGTTGAGCCATGTTAAATTACCATATGTACAGAAGTAGTCTGCTCATCTTTAAAACCACTGCCATGAAGAAAGCATAAAGGAAGGCAAACGCACATAATATTTGAGGAGGCCAACAAAGTACACTTCAAATTATTATTGGAAACTCATGGAATTTGAGCACTGAAATACTTGGCCTTTTTATGTTTAGGATTATCAGGTTAAATGTAAAGCATGTAAGAAGTCAATGGTCCAACTGCTTTGTTCTTGCGTGTTTCTCTTTAATAAACTCCCAAGACATAGTAATATTACCATATTAGACATGACTAAATCTACTCTGTATCTTTTCTGTCTTGTCATAGTGGGAGAAATTAACTGGAATTTATGATGGCTGGTTGGCTGCATAACAGCAAAAGATCCTTCAAATACTTCCCTTGCAAATATATGTTGCTGTGCAGTAATTATTGCATGGTGAATTTCAGATACTGTTTGCATTTAAATCACCCAGAAAAACAGATTCAGAGGTAATTCAGCACTGATTTGCTATAATAACCCTGTACATTCTTTTCTTCACAGACAGTTAATGTATATGTGCAAGAGGGAGGAAATGATTCCATACCTGTGAAAGTGCTCAACTGTGATACCATATCACAAGTAAAGGAAAAGATAATAGACCAAGTCTATCGAAACCTGCCGTGTTCTCAGTGGCCAAAAGCTGACAGTGTAGTTCTTGGTATGTAGTTACTTGTGATACTATGTTGAACTGGTGAGATCTGTTGTGTGACTCTGTATTTTCTGAAAAAATGTCTATAAGAGGATTTTATTGCTTGGTTATGGTTTGGCTTGTTGTTTGGTTTTTGGTGGTTTTTGTTTTTTGATTTTTTTTTAAAGCTCAATTCATGTTCAGCTGAATGAAAAAATACAGCATTTTGCAGCAATCAGAATATGCTTTAAAAATTAATGTTTTCTTATGAGTTAGGGCTTTTTGACTCTTAAAGTTTTGGTTAACTGTCATCAGCATTGCAAGAGCCTGTTAATGACTATTGGCACAAATGAATTCATGTCTGACAGAGTCAGTATCTCAGGTACTAATTAATGTGATAATGACAGCATGGATAATTAACTGATGGAGAAGTAATGATGCAATTTCAGAAACTGGTACTGATTTTTAGTTGCCTTAATGATGGTTATTCAAAAGAATTATAACTTACAGGAACTGCACTTTTAGGAGATGATGTACCACTTAGTCTCTGAAAAATCATCCTCCTTGAAGGCTTTCAAAATAGCTGTTCTCTTTTTGATAAAAAAAAGGAAATGGTGTTCCTTAAAAGGTCTAATAGACTCAGCATTAAAGCTCCAATTAATATTTTTTTCAATGTTTTCATTACTGCATTAATCTGAAAGTAGAAGATGGAATTCTTGCACTTCAGAAAAAATCCTAGTAAATCCCCTAAAAATGTCTTTTCTATTCCATGAAATCCTACTCTGTTTTGGACCGATAGCAGATCTTACTATGTATATTTATTGAATTCTATGAGAAGGAATTTAAGTTTTTATGGAAGATAATCAGAAGTCATATGCATGGTTAGGAATAGTTCAGTCAAACTTCTGTAATAAAGGCCAAATGATTAAGCAATAAAAAACACACATTGGGGCATATGCTGCATTATTTCTTTTGATGTTCCACAATGTGTCAGTGGGTCTGTAAAACTTCCTTGCAGTAGTTATTTTTACACATTGTTAAAAACTGTTTTTTCTCACTTTAATTGCCCTTTAGAATGGCGTCCAGGTTCTACTGCACAGATCCTCTCAGACTTGGATTTAACATCCCAAAGAGATGGCAGATGGAAACGTATCAACACACTAATGCATTACAATGTAAGATGTTTCAAAAATGTTGTTCACACCTCTTGCCTGTTTTCTTGTAATAAATAAAGTCATTATTTGTTGATGGAGCAATTTCAGTGGTACATACAGGTTGCCTAGAAAAGATGATAAAGAATCAAAATTAAAACACGAATCTGGGTCTAGTCAGTAAAAGGTTTGCACTGTGAAATGCTGGGTCTAGATATTCTGCCTAAGCATTTTATATAAAAACAAAAAAGCTAAATGCCAGTACCTTGGTTTCCTCAACATTGAAGTATCCAAATCTAAATTCCATTTTGAACATTCAGCTTTTTGCTGGGCCTCATATTCATCTTTTCTTTTCTCCACGACTTCCTACCCCTGAGAATTGTCTTTGTCCTTGCTGTGCTGCTAAATAGATTTTGAGTTGGTCTGGTTTGTTCAAAAGCTCAATCAGGAGAGTAGATGTTGATGCTGTTGTACGTCTGTTTTAGGTTTCATACTGTGCACTCTACTACACACTTATCTTTCCTTTTTATGCTATTTATTGCTTTCTAACAACAATTAATCCTGACTGGGAAAGAGAAAAGTTGGTTAGTTTTCTTTAAGAAAACAGACAGGTCTGATTCTTCATGATAAACCCCATTTTTGTCCAGAGGGCACCCACACCATGTTGAGGAACCACTTAAGCCTCAAAAATGCTCCTAATATTTCAGTTATCTCAGAGGAGGTGTTGATGGGCTCTCTTAGGGAGTGGGAGCAGTCTGTCCTGAATTGCAGAGCCGGTTGTTTAAGAAGCCTAGGAAGGTTAGCATTTGTCATAGATTCCCTGCAACCAATCACAAGAACCCCAGTTTAGGGTTTAAGAAAGAGGTTCAGTAGCACACGGCTCTTTCAAAGAATATCTCTGTGTTTCTATTTTCAAAGGTCCGAGATGGTGCCACGCTCATCTTATCAAAAATGGGGATTTCCCAGCAGCCAGAGGATAATCAGCAAGATGTCCCAGGGGAAAGTAAGTGTCTTGTGGCTTCCCTACCTTCCAAGATGACCAGAAGTCAAAACACACATAGTGATGCTGCCGTTTTGATTTTGTTTATCAAACAGTTCCATGGAGCTAGATATTCTGCACCTGACTATGTAGGATTTATTTGTTGTGTTATCCACTGTACACTTGCAATGGTTTTCTTTGCCCACATTATAAAAATCTTAAACCCTAGGACTTTAACCATGATTGCTGTGAGTCCATACCCCAACTTAATAGAAAGCACTCTTATTAAACATTTCCTTCCATATTTTGTTCTTTAATCACACTACAGCTATAGTCAAACTGCACATTCCATCTTCCGAGAGCTTTATCTCTTTTTCTCCTTTCTAAAGCCTTTACTCACGTTCCTCTTCAAATTTCTTTCACTTCTTATTAGACTGAAAATTAAATGCAGTGTTCTAGATAAACCACAGTGGAGACTAGCTCCCCTCTAGGTGACATAATGAATCTGATGTAATTTTTTGTAGCATTTCTTACAACTGTGTTGCCTTGCAAACTTATCTCTATACCTTCAGATTTTGTGTCTCCCTTTCTTTTGAGTGATGTTTCACCAGCTATGCTAACTTGTTTTTTCCCAGGGCTTTTTAGTTGACTTTGATTGTTCCATGCATTTTGTCACTTTATTAGATTGCACCATTTTTCACAATTTCATTGCTGTTTTTGAGGTTTTCAATCCTCTGTAAGTGAGCATCAGGAATTTCCTTGTAATGTTTCTTCTCTTTCACATCACTAAAGCATCTGATGCATAATTCTTGTATTGCTGTCTTCTACAGTATGCTGGACTTCGCAACACAGAAGAAACTTGTTAGCTTGCAACCCATCTTAAAAGCTTTTACTTTTTTGTGTTAGTATTCCATCTAGACCAATTTTCTATATTTCAAAATATCTTGAGACACAATATCCATTACAGCCTTGAATGCACTCGGGTTTTTATGGCAATATTTACTTGTGAATATATGTTCTTTGTCACATGTATTTCCTTTACTGACTTCAGATGTTCGGTTTCTCTGTGGTTTTTTTTATTCTTATATTCAGTTATTTTACATGAGGTAGAATTTAGATTTATGGAACAATAACTGTTGAGATCATTCTTCCTCCCATGAACTCATTTGATATGCTTTTCTCTCTAGCACTGATTGCAAAGGCCATTACTTCACGTAATAGTTTCATTCCTTTAAACAGATTTACTGATCTTAGATTTAATACGTTTTGAGGGCTGGGCAGTTAAACAAGTTGGAAATAATATGCCAGAAATGTACATTTTTCAAAAAGATGGGTCTCAGCTCATAGCTCTCACATACATGGCTATTTAGCAGAAAGGTTCAGACTTTCATTTGTTTTGAGTGTTGGACAGGAAATTAAGATGGGCAGAATTACTTACTGTTTACTTTTTACTCTGTCCTCCTGCATTCTTTCTTTTGTGACTTTTTTGCACTAGAAAGAAGAGTCTTCTAATGGTCATGTCTACACTGCTGCTGCTATCCTCACCCTTTTACTCCACGTGCCTGGCATAGCTGGCCAAGCAGTGACTGTTCTGTCACAGCAGGTGCCAACCCAGCATGTTAATTCAAAAAGCCATCCAGTTTAATGCAGAAGGCAGTGGAGTGCAGCCAGGCAAGGTGCTGATTCCTAGTCCCTGTTCAGTTTGGCTGCACTGGTGGCTGGGACTATGGTCACCTCACCTCTAAATAAGTGGAGTGGACTGTGAATGGAGCTTGGTGGTGCCCTTAACTTGCTTTGCTTTCTTGATATAGAATATCAACCTTCTGTTCTGCACTACAACTCTTCATCCTCTTCACCTCTCTACCCCTGTGACAGGCAGTAGAGGACAAGATCTAGTGTTTTTCTTTTTTTCTTGGGTTAGGTTTTTTTCAGTTCCTTCTTCTCTGCAATTATATCATTCAATATGATTCAGTATGATGAATCTCTTTGAACAAGCATAATCTCTACTCCAAGGTGGATTCATTAGATGTCTGTGTGGCATACTAAATTGTAAAGGAAAAGCAGACTTCTGGGGCCAGTGCAATCACACAAGGGCTCTTGTATGTTAGAGAAAAGTCTGCAGAGAATTCAGATCCCAAAGTATCAAGTGCTAACATCTTCCACCATGTTTCTTCTCTACACCTGTCTTGCACCATGGTAGTGTACAAATTTGGGATGACAGTGTTTCATGCCAAGCTACCCTGCTTTCTTTAGCACTGTAAGGTCCTCAGAGCTATCTGGTGCCAACTTGTTCTGTTGGAAAGCTATAAAATGTTACAAAGCTGGTACAAAGTAAGAGCCTGCTGTGACCATGATTTGTGAGACACTCTGTATAAAAGGGAGAGGAGAGGATCAGAGGCTTCCCCTCCCACACATACCCATTTATATGGCACAGGGATTTACAGGGTTTGAATAAACAGAAATCCTATCCTGACTATGAATGAGGCTTGTGACGAAGTGGATTTCCTTTTATTCAGTCTCATTAACTTGCACCTTTAGCATTGAGAAGTGTCAGCTGAAGCCATTGACTGTCAGCCAAAGTAGGAGGCTTTGCACCAACCGAAAATGTAAAACCATGTTCAGAGATGTTGCTCTAAATCCTGGCATTGCTTCTGTGCTGCTTTTATTCCGAGCTTTTAACAGGAAGACACTGGAAGCTGGAGATTGTGACAAATTAAATGCAGCATCTTTTGCTTCTGGAGACAATAAATGCAGTTACTAATTTGTATCAAGAAGGAGAATGGTTCCAGCAATTTCATACTAGTATTTCTGTACTGAACTGTAAACCAAAACAACACATTCTGTTATTTTGGTTGTTTTTTTCATGATATTATGTTTTGAGGTGGTTTTTTTGTTTGTTTTGTTGGAGTTTTTTTTCTTTTTTAATTATGAATAAAAATAGACACAGGGTTGCAGATCAGAAATACTAATTAGCAGATCAGTTAGGGCAGCCCTTCCTCCATCTCCATGGAACAGTATTCATGAGGTAGGGGAGACTAGAAGGAAGATAATTTGCTGCAGGTCACACAAGGGGAAAGGGGCTGCATTGTCTGATGTTTACATCATGGTTCCTACCACTGTAATTAGTCAGCACAGTCAATTTTTGCCATTAACACTCCCCCCAACACCCCAATAATTATTTTATATTGGCCAAAGAATAAAGAGCTCAGGGGGAAGCATTTGACCCCCTGGACACAATCTTCTTCCTGCTTACAGTTTGATGCTTAGTGCAACTAAGGAGATAAAAAGGAGGCATTTTCCCCTATCTTTTATTTTCTTCATTTCCTACTTTTCCATTGAGGAAAATATTATCTCATAAAACTGTTATTTTCTCTTAGCAACCATGTTGCTGACATGTTTTGTTGGTCCATGAATTTCTCTTCCTCTTTCTTCCTGCTATTTATAGCAATGAAGTGAGATCTTCGGGTTGCAGAAGTTCATCTGGTTGAGCTGCAGTCTCTTGATCCTTACTTTCCTATGAAATAACTACTATCCACTAGTAGCCAATTCTGCTGTTGCTAAACAAACACAGAACAAACTCAGCTGCATGTAAGAGCCAGTGATCTCAGTGGAAACTTCTTTAGCTGTTTCCCTTCTGTCCAAAGTTAAACTAGACCATATACCACCAGGAGGGCAAAGAGAGAATAAATTCCTTTGATTCAAAGCAGGAGTGTACCAAAGAACTGACATAAGGCTGGAATATAGTTTCTAGTCTAACTGCGTGATTTGATCTGTTAATTTCCAAAAGTGAATAACAGGGATTGCAAAAGAAATTCCATACTTCATGCCCAGCAGTGGTTCTTACTGCACTGGCAGATGATTGCTATGAATGGCATCTATTGTGAAATCACAGCTGCTTCAAAATAAAGTGATAGCTTTTATTTTTTCTGGCTTCATTCACATGAACTTCCAAGTTGAATTAAGGACTCTCAAAGGACAATGTAATTTAATGTGGGATTTATATTTCTTTCCTACCTTGTTAAAAAGAAGTAAATGTCCCAGAAGACTACATAACTAATGCTTTTCATGAGAATATATAAAGTAGATTCAAGCAAAAGTGTTGGCTTAGCCAGATTACTCTTAAATGTTATTTTCCCTTGTGATGTAAAATATCGAATGTACATGCAAACTGGGAAATTCAATGTAGCTGTTGAGGAACTTAGTTAATTAACCATTACGGTCAAAGTTAATGCAATTTAAAACTGATATTTTGTGCTGTAACTGGGATTCAGTTATGTTAGAGGCGTATATTAAGGCATAAAACTTAGCAGAATGCAAAATGATTTGTACAGTGGGGCTGAATCACAATTTTTATGGGAAAAATAACTTCCATATTTTTAAGATGTCAATGATTTTAGATGTACTGATTCAATAACTTCCACTGGAAAAGTACCATTGATTTTAGGGACTATGCCAAGTAGATGCAAAAGTTCAGGGATTAAAGGAAGAACAAACAAAACCAGGACATTTGAAAGTGACACATAAACCCTTTTCAAGGAATACTAATGACAAGTTAAAACAATTGTGTCATCTCTTTTAGAACTGTCTGTAAGAGAAGCTCCTTAGGCATGGAGTTTGTCTGAACAGTAGTGTGCTGCTGAAATGCAAAACTGCATTTATGCACTGTGTGATTGTTAGTCCAAGCCCTGCACGGTGCATGGCCAAGCCCCAGAGAGCACAGCGAGGCACTGTAACCAGACAAGCTGTCATTGTCATCCAAGTGCTTACTCCTGCTTCTGCTTGATTGTAACAGACTTGATGTGAGTCAGTCCCTCCGGTTTAAACTATGAATACTGACAAACAATTTTTTTAAAAAACTTATTATAATGTATATGAATTTACTTCAGTCATTATCTCTGGCTGCTGGAGTTCATGTCATCTCAGTGAAGGGATGTATTTTTCCTCCACTCAGCTACAAAGTCAAGTGGTGCTTATCAAATGCTGATAAAAGGAAGGTTTGAACTGAGGTACCATACTTTGACCTCAGGAACTGGAGTAAAGATGTGAATTGTAATGGTGTTACCTAGAGAAAAGGTTGTACCAGGAGTAGGCTGCAATTTTTATTTCTGTGGTGGCTATGGGGTCAGACCTAGCTAGGATTCTATAACTTGATCATGTCTTTGAGAATTCACAAAGAAGAAAAGAACTTAATTGTGTGAACCTCAAAACATACTGTGCTTACATGACTGTCGTGATTTAGGAATGGTATTATCCAATTTATTCTTCTACCACTCCAAGCCATGCACTGCTTGCTCACTTCCCCTCCAGCTCCCCCTCCCCTGCAGTGGGATGGAGAGGACAATGGGAGACACAAAAGGTAAAAATCATGGGTTGAGATTATTTACTGTAAACAGCAAAGTGTTGAGAAAAGAAAACTAATGACAGCAGATTTAAGAAAAGAAACATTATTGCTCACCATGGAAGCCCCCAACCACAGACAGGACCTGACTGCTCCCTCTGTTATCCTACTCCCACTGCTCCCTCCAGCTTGAAAGTGACATTACTGCTCCCTCCACACTTACTCCACTGGAAGGAATCCCTTCCCCACAGAGGAAACTCCCTTCTCTTCACCTGTGACAATGACACGAGGTGATTTAGAGCAACCTCCGTGACCCAGCCATGACCCCTCCTGGCTACTGCAAAAATTATCCCTGTCCTGGCTTGAGCCATGACAATGACCAAATAGAAATTTTCCTATTGTGTGATTCTTTCCTTTCCCTTTGGTCTTGACAAAAGCAAGTTTTTTCAGCTCTGTGTAACTGAACATTTAGTACTTGTGTGTGTTGGACAGGAACAGAGTAATCTAGATCCCCTTGGCAAGAGGACAGGCATGTTAACGATAGGGAACATGTATATATGTATAGGATAACTTTTGTGTTGCTGGTTTAAGGTTGGAGGTTTTTTATAATTTTTGCAATTACTGTTTCTAGGGCATGCACTCCTGGAAGATGAAAATAAGGTCTGGCATCTAGTCCGGCCAGTGGATGAAATGGATGAAGGTAAATCAAAGCGGGGCAGTGTGAAAGAAAAAGAGAGGACCAAAGCTATTACAGAGATCTACCTGACCAGACTTCTTTCTGTGAAGGTAGGGCTCAGATGTGCTGTAGTTACACTTTACTCCTACAGATTTTGAGATACAACTGAGGAAATAGATGCAAATATTAGTCATGTGTTCGTCTGCAATTTGAATTATGTGTCATGCACATACAAGCTGGTGTTCAAGGCTTCAAGTGATTAATATGCCCTGAGGAGCATTACTGGGAAAGAGATAACGTACAACTCCTGATCAAAGCTGAGAACCATGATTACGTGATCGTTAAATAAGGATTTTCCTGGCAAGACAAAGATGGATATTCTGCTCTGTGCCACCTGTTTAGATAATACTTTGTTGGGTTTTTCTTTTGTACTGAATGCTTTATAAACTCTTCTATTTCCCATTATATTTCCCTGTTCTTGTATGTGATCAATGTTCCAGTAAAACCAAAAAGAAAAAAAATGTTTCCAAATAATAATAGTCCTTTTAGAGTATTTTTAGTGCCTATAATGAAGAATTGACAATGAGCAAAATAATTTTTTTAAACATTTCTCCATGGAGAAAGAATTAATGTTTAATGACCACAAAGCCAGGCTCCTTTTGTGAAAATGAAGTCAGTCTGGCTCCAGCTAAGGCCACTTGTCCAAGCATGGAAGTGGATATGAAGGGAAGTCTTCAGATAGATGACATAGACTCAGGATGAAGAGCCAAAAACATGCTTGCATCCATTTCTTCTGATGATAAAGCCACTGCTTTGTATTCCCAATAGCCATTTTATAGGTTATTACCAAGTCTGGAGCTTTACTGACTCATAAAATGTTGGTGAGGTGTTACAGCTGAGTTCACAGATACCCCTTCAGCCCTGGGACTTGTGTGTTCTGGCTGACAGCAGAATATCTTAGAGCTCCTTACCATCTGGGTCCCTTCCCTGTTTGGAGGCTGTCAGCTGGAGTCATGGTTGGAAGGAGGATGCAGCCCTTCAAAGGTGTCTGTAGGGCCAGTCAGTTGCCTGGGGGTGAGCTCTGTGTGGCCTCAACAGGGTCCTCTCTAAAACAAGGGGCCATTACTAAGACCCAGCGGGATGCCAGAATCCAAGAACACAGCCTTTCTGGACACTTCACTCCTTGGGCTCCATGGATCCTGAGTCAGAGTGGATGTCTGATAAGGCCTATGTGCTTGCCTTTAAATAAAAATGGCAAATGCTCACTGGTACTTCTTCCTCTCAGTCTCTGTAAAAATTGCACTGCTCTGCTGTCAGAGAAACTGCATGAGGGAAGCTGCAAAGCCATTAAAAAGTGTCTAAAAATTATTTCATGTGCACAATGATCCTGAAGGGTAAATGTAGCAACCAATTTCTGCTTCTTCTGTCAAGCAGAAGACAAACCTTTCTGTGCAAACCGTAGGATCTCTAGTGAAGTCACAACCTTTGAGTCTAGAACATAAAATTGTGCTTTAGCAGGTCTTTATTCTGTTGGCAGTTTACAAAGTCACTGCTCTAAGAAATTGTTTGCTTTTTGTCGCTCTTAGCACTCAGGATAAAGGCCATCATATGGATTATGTCCATAGGAATAAAAGATGCTGAGTTCAGCTTGTAACACAATGTAACTGATTTTTTAAAATTTGCTCTTAGGGGACACTTCAGCAGTTTGTAGATGACTTCTTTCATAGTGTGCTCAACTCAAACCATGTGGTGCCACCAGCTGTGAAGTACTTCTTTGACTTTCTTGATGAGCAAGCAGAAAAACATGACATCAAGGATGAAGATACCATTCACATCTGGAAAACAAACAGGTATGGTATGAACAGAGTCATGTACTGTAGAGAAATAAGAGTATAATTCACAGGTATATACTAACACTCTTACCATAAATCCAAGTAATTTTCATTTATAATCCTCAGAATTTTAATTGAGATAATAAGTTTGTGTGATGAAAAAGATTCCCTGTAAGCCTAGAAGAGGCAAAAAATGAAACCAGTTTACCTATGGGATTGTCACTGGCAGGTTTACCATGTTTTACTTTTAGTCTTTCCTCAGAGAAGACGAAAGCAAGAGGCAAATGGAAATAGATTTACCTGTCAAATCATCAAATCTAATACATACTATTTGATAGTATTTGATAGATGCATACATCCTTCCTTGCTCTTTTGGGCACTCAAGATCCTTACCTTATGAGTTTTTCTGAGAGATGTAAAGAGTTGGTTTTCTCACATGGAACCCAGACAAGCTTGTATCAATGTTGAAATATAAAATTAAACATCACTCTTGTGAGGAGATGAAAACGCAAAGCCCATACTTGATTTCATATGATTTTCTCGTTGTAGAATATTTATTGTGTAAAAAGGATTATTTATCTTTTTCCTTGCTTTGCAGCCTGCCTCTTAGATTCTGGGTAAACATACTGAAAAATCCCCATTTTATCTTTGATGTTCACGTTCATGAAGTAGTGGATGCTTCCTTGTCAGTCATTGCACAGACTTTCATGGATGCTTGCACAAGAACAGAGCACAAATTAAGCAGAGTAAGTGATTTGCATTCTACATTCTGACTATGCTCATGCCTGACTGAGACAAAGGGCATCCTCACAGACAATACCCATTCTCTGAGGAGACACAGCCTTGATCGTTTCTTTTTAGTTTTATAATGAAGTTAACATTTCACCACTTAACAGGTTGGTGAACTGTCAGTATTTCTGTGTAGTCTGCCAACTGATACTATTGAAAGAGGAGAATACAGCAACTGCTTTTATAAAAAGCATGTTCAAGAACTGATTATTTCAGGTCCAGCAATAATTTATTATCACCTTGCATTGATACTTATGTAAAACTCAGCAATAATATGTGTAAGCATCATCTTTTTATTAAATAATCCCACCTATGTTAATAAGTATCCAAATGTTAATATATGTAAAGCTCAAGTGTATATAAATATAAAGGCTTGCTCTTACATTCTTAACTTTCTTTTGCTTCTTGAAATGTTCATAAATAACTACATTTTTCCGTATTCTAATTTTTCCAGGATTCTCCAAGTAATAAATTACTTTATGCGAAAGAAATCTCTAACTATAAGAAAATGGTGGAAGAGTAAGTATCAATTATTTTCATGGTTATTCGGTTGATAGGATTTTAAGCCTGTGTAAGTGGAAAGGGAATGCTGATGTTGTCAAAGTCAGCTGTCAAATATTAAAAATGTTACACCCAAACGTTTAAAGATCCCCTTGGTGGTGGCATTGGCAGAGTTGAAATGGAGCTCTCTTTGGACCCAGTGCATATTCCTGTCTGTACAGACAGATGAATAGATTTATTCAGGAGAAAATATTCAGCAGAAAGTTTTCTGCAGTTTTCTACCCACATGATCTGTCTAACAAATGCTGCACTTCCATAACTCAGTAGAGATCAAATCCTGAAAACATTTTCAGAAACATTTTTTTCCTATGCTGTCTCAGACTTTATTCATTTACTAATTGGAAATCCTATTAATATCATGGAAGATCTGCCACACACAAAAAAAAAAAAAAAAACAACTCTTGACAGTTTTAAGACCTAAAAATAATCATTATCTGCAATTATAGATTTTTTTTCCTGTGGTACATACCTGTACAATCAGGTAAGATTTACCTCTACTGCAAAAGTACTAATGTTGGAAGGCAGGATTACTGAAGGAATCATTGGTATGTTGTGTCTTCTTCCTGTATTAGTAAGGAAGCATGTTTGAAATGACGACAGAATTGCCAGAAAGACACAGTTTATTTTACTAACTGAAAATCTTTTTTAATCTCTTACAGTTACTACAAAGGTATTCGTCAGATGGTGCCAGTGAGTGACCAAGACATGAATACCCATCTAGCAGAGATTTCTAGGGTAAGGATAGAATCCATTTTCTTGTAGCGAAATTGGAGCCAAGTATAATACTGGGGGGTTTTTTTGTCTTCTCTTTCTTTCTCAACAAACGGGGTCTTTTGTATGTGCAAATATCAGATGATTTCATAAATCTCTGAAATATTCCTGTTCATTGTAGTCTGGCCAACATTTCAACCTTTGAAATGTTGATTATTGAACGGAATCAAAACTTCTTATTGTCACTAATCTATCTGAGTTATGCAGGGAATAGAGCACAGTGTTTGGATTTTTCACAGCCATTGTGGAAAATTATAGCACTCTTGAACTGTGCTTTCTCTCCACAGCGTATGGAGGACTTTTAGCATCTATCATACTAATAACGAGTAGTGACTGAATTCACATTGCTACCACAGCAAAAATTAGATTCTAGAAATTAAAGAAGAGGCATGAACATTAAGAATAGCATATTTTAGAACAGTCTATACAGGAGCAATACTTCTGCTTTATTGTACATGTGAGAAGTTCATCATGCTTGCTCAGTGGCAGATTTGGCATTATAGGTTATTTGAGTTACCTCACGTGGAGAAGAGCAGCATGTGGTGGTTGCTGTCTGGGACTTTGGTTGGAGATGGGTGGAACAAAGTCATTACAAAAGCTGCTTCAGTCTTGAAAGAGCCTGTCTGCTCTGCAGCTCAGCTCAGGCAGGCTCTTGCCTTTGAAGCATTCTATTTAACTTGGAGAGTCCCTCACCAGTCCTAAAGATGTTGTTTAGCCTGAGCAAGAAGGCAGTGTATTTACCGGCTGGTTTGCTCATTTGCTTAATTTAGTTGAAGAGTTCTAGCGTAAGGAGGATGTTTGGGGAATTTTTTGCGGTTTGTTTATTTCAATGCCCTTAGGACCTAACATTTTGCAGATCAACATCCTCATGAGAGCATTTCTATTTTCAGTCATTCACTACAAAACTCATCTGCAGTGACATTTCATTTTACAGTTCACTTTATTTATTACATAAATTGAGATGTATATAAAATGAGAATGTTTGGTGATTAAAAGTAAATTCAATATAATGTTTTAACATCAGCAGGATATGTTCATCCTTTCTATTTTCATTATAAATTATGATCAAAATTAATATGGAAGGAGTGATTGAACACTGCAAATTTTGACCAGCTCTAAAAGTGACTTTTATAGAGCAAGGGAAGATGGATGTTTCTCTGCTGCTTTATCCCTGGGGTAATCATTTACGCCAGTAGCAATGTTTTGCAATTCTTCATTTTCTTAACTAAATTAAAAGACTAAAGGCATAGCTAGAGACTTGAATCCTACACATTTGAATGAAGAACATCTGTTCAGACAGGTAGAGCACATTCACTAAATAAGTCATATGTGTGGGGGCAGGAAGAAGATAAGGTAATGGAAGGGTTATTTCCTGCTTAATTTGAAGTCCTTTCTCTCTCTCTCTTCTCACCATCACACACCCCACATCCTCCCCACCTTTCTATCTTCATGTTTCGGGTGGCTTTTTCCAAATGTACGTGTGCTCATGATATTGATGAGTTACACCTTTGCTGTAGTGGAGTATGAATAATTTCCAGGATGTAAAAAGAGCTGGAGAGAGGATTTTAAACACCCATGATGACCATGTCAGAACCAATGCTTAATATCTCAACAATGTGTAGATTGTACTGAGTAAATGCTTTAGCTTTTCACACCCATGCTGCTAACAGATGTTTGAGCTGTAGCCTGTGGTTTGATGTTCAGAATTCAAAATATCTTCCCACTCCAATATTGAGAGTTGTGGGCAGGTTGGAAAAATACCAGAGGGAAAGTCTTGATCTAAAAATCACCAAACAAAAGTTTTCTCACTCATTTTCTCTGCCTCATGTGTCATTTAACAAAAGTTAAACACAGAGCTTGCATTTGAAATCTTGTCAGTTGTACCCAACAGTTGTGCATGTGCATAAGTTTCAGCTGTGAGTGATCCCATTTTGACATGTTTGCTGCCTGCTTGTGTTAACAGGCACATACTGATTCCTTAAACACGCTTGTGGCTCTACACCAACTCTACCAGTACACTAACAAATACTATGATGAGGTAAGTTATGGCTTTTGTTTTCATGCTTTAATGTCAATGGTAAAAGGTTATGAAAGCTAACATTAGTCTAAAGAAGTGACTTCTGGATTTCACTGAATAATCAGGTAAAAGCAATGCTGAACAAAATCCTTGCAGTTATATACCCTGCTTGGCAATTACACTGGTCAAGATAATGTCCTTATAAATGAACAATTTCATTATGGCTATCTGGTTTTGGTAGGGGTAGTTTCATGGATAGTTTAACAAGATCTGAAAGATAAATAGATTTTAAAATAATTTCTCTTCACTTCTACCATCCTAATAAGTATATAACAATGTCACTGAGCAAAAAGTCATCAGAGCTAGATCAGGTTTCAAGACAGTGTGCTTTTTTATTAGGAAAAATCCATTAAACTTGTTTTGCTTGTAGGAATTGGAGCCATGACCTTTTTATTAGTTAAAATGCTCTTTAAACTTCTGTGCATGGTACCATCCCTGTTTTGCCATGCCAAGTGAAGTGTCTGCCTACGGTAAACCAAAGCAGAGTAACTGTTGAATTCAAAAGCAGGCTCACAGCTTCAGTTTTAAAAGTTTCTTTGGTTTTTCACACCCTGTGGAAAGGGGGACAAAGAATATCCCAGAGTAGCTGGGCTGTGGCTATGGCTCTCCAAACTTAATCTGAAGACAAAAAGAGAGAAGGAAACTTTTATTCAAAGGTTTCCATGGAAATGAATGCCTCCAGAAAACTCTCAGAATTAAAGCAAGAACAGATGCTGAATCAAAAAGGAGCACAGTACATGTGAGCTCTATTCGCTTAGTCTTGCACCTCAGCACAGTTCATGTTTTCACTTACATTTAGCACTAAAGACAGTGAGTTGCATCCTTCACTGCAGCTGCTTTATACAGGAGCAGCCAGCCTGTCACAGCTTTTAAACAGATGCAAGCAGGGAAAATCAAATCACCCTGAGAAGTCCTGCAGTGATGGTCAGCGGGAGAAGCAGACAGAGGAATGTAGGCCAGCCCCATGGCATTCCCTCACCCCTCACCACCAGTGCTAAGCTGGCTTTCAGCACCCTCCCAAATATGTCCGTAGTTTGACCTCTTACAAAAACACTCGGGGACCCTGAATGACAGCTGAACTGTAAATCCCTGATTCACCCACAGCTCAGGCAGAGCCACCAGCCTGTGGGACTTCATCAGTGGCAGGCCAGCACACCCCAGTATGTAGCTGCAGCTCTTCCCTTCCACGTACATCACTGTGTAACAATGAGGTGCATCTGATGAAAAGGCTGTTAATTCAGAATTGTGGAGATAATCTGTCAAGAACCATTGAGTAAAATTAATCAAGCTTATTTATTTTCCATGAAAATGTTTTAATTTGCATAAATTGGAACATTTTGCAGCTGCCCTTGTCTTTATTACTGACACAGTGGTTCTCAGCATGTGCTGTACCTTCTGCATCTCTGCAGGGCTTGACAATGACTAAGTGGGTACATTCTAATTGTCCACATTTATATGAAGGATATATTCACCAGTAGAGATAATCATGAATTATTTAGTCTAGATTTGAGGAGTTACAGCTAGATAAAATTGTTTAAATTAAGGAAACAATATCAAATTAAATCAGGCCCAGTTTAAATACTGCAATAAGTGTTTATTAAGTCGCACTTGTAAAAATATTTTCACGCTTTAAAAACAAATTCATTAAAATAATTATTTCTAAACAAATTTGCTCCAGTGTTGGAAATGCAAACACTATACCAGCCCTTCAAAGTGAAATTATTGGCTAGATTGATTCTGACTGCATTCATCTCCATTGTCAGTTGTGTTCAAGAAGTAATAAGAACCACAGGTAGTGACAGGCAAACTCCATTTTTCCATCTCTGTACTTGCAAGTTTATATACTATTTAAACAGTGCTAAAGGTTTCTGCTTGATTACACTGTCAGACTTATATTAATAAAGCCAGTTCTAGCAAAGGAATGGTTTTGTCACATAACACATTTTTCTAATGGAGAAATCTAATAGCTGGTGGGAAAGTTTTCCTAAAGGATGGTGGAAATGAAAACCTTTCAAAACCTTTTGAATTTGATTTGGGAAGCCCTAAAAACTCTATTTGAAGAAAAGCCTTCTCATAACAGCTGACCTTTACTGGCTCTTGTTTTCAAATCCCTTGTGTCTTAAGAGTCATATCCTCTTATATGTATTCTGTGCAGCAGAGGCTGTGGGATGCTGGAGGCTCCTCTGAGGAGCTATTTGCTTTCCTGAACTATGTTGTGCTGGGCCAGAGTCTTGGCACTTCTTGGTGAGAGCCAAAAGGGAGCTGCTGGCTTTATTCCTCATATTGCCTACAGACACAGGAGACCTTGCATTGTCCTACCACATGCCTGTGCATGGACCACCCAGGAGCTTCTCATAACTCCAGCTCATGGGGATGGGATATAATTACTGATGGTAGATGACCCTTAAGCTCTGTAGGGTGCACTGTATGTAGAAGCACTGTTTCTTATTCTTAAATAGCTCTGAGGAAATTCTTCCCCTGCCTGCTCCATCTTGGAATGTAATATTTTACAAGATAAAGTACAACCTATTAATTTGCTTGTATCCCAACATAATGGGAAACATTACAACAACTTAGATAAAGTAACAGAGACAATCATTTTTACTGTCTTTGTGAAAAAATAGAACATGAGACCTAATAGATGGACTTTGGTACAGAGTGAATGCAAAAGACTCTTTACAACCAAAGTAGTATCAAACACTTGGTCTCAGAACTATGTCATATATTTTAAGCTAAATTATTCTAAACTTTCTGTGTTTATATCTTCCAGATTATAAATGCACTTGAAGAGGATCCAGCTGCACAAAAAATGCAGCTTGCCTTCCGTTTACAGCAAATAGCAGCTGCGCTAGAGAATAAAGTGACTGACCTTTGACTCAAAAGCCGCAATAAAGAAATCTGATCTGAAGATGTTCAAATTCATTCTTCCTGTTAAGGAAATAGTGTTCTATTTTTTAATGTATAATTACAACTTTAAATGAAAGATTTCATGGTTTTTTGATAGCAGAGGTGTAATGTAAAGAATTTTTACTGTAAATTATGCTTCTAATTAAAAGCTGTGTTGTGTGTAAATGAATCTTCTGTGGGAAAGAGAGTCCTTTAGTTGGGGGCAGGGTGGGGGGTGGAAGAAGAAAAACCTATCGTTCATTTGATTTAGTGGAATCTGAGACATCAGCATTTAGAATTCATTATGCAAGTAAATTCAATACTAAAGCATCCTTTCTACCTTAAGCAATATTTGTACTAGGAAAACAATAACATACTCCGAGACACATGCAATATCCCCTTTTATTTTGATAACTGGAAATTGACTTCCATAGAGCTCTAAAACTTGGTTTGTGCTCATAATGAACATAGTGAACAAAGTGTCCGATTTCTCTGCAAGATCTAAAAATGGGATTTGCTACCACACATGGTTCTACATTTAATTATTTATCTCAATGGTGATGCACCCACCACAGTTGGCCGTGAGAGAAATAAGAGTATTGTCAATGTAGAAGAGTTCTACTGATGAAGTCTTGTTTGGTTCAGAAATCACTGCAAAGAAGGAATCAGTCCTTAAAACTTTAAAACTCTTTGTTATTATTGTGAGTTTTATGATATATGCTAATGTGCCTTACTTGTACTAATTCTGTGAATCTGATGAATGGTTTTGTAAAAAGAAGCAGATCAGAAAAATAAGTATTTATGTGCTATTGAATGACTTTTGTGTGAAAAACATGACCAGCAGAATGCTTGTAATTAGCTGCTTGCCGAGAGTGTGCTGTTTAACATGATTTGATTATGTATAATACCCTATTTTAGAATGGTTCTGATGATTTTTTATTTGAATCTTGGAACTGTCCTAGAAATACCATCACTTGTTTTTATTGTATCTGTGATGTAAAATACTACTATGATATTGGAAAAAATCATATACTCATCTATTGAAAACCACTCAGTCAGTTTTGAGCCTTGGAATGCTGCATTTGATTGAATACACACTATAATCCATAGCAAAGAAAATTGAAATAACTTGTCAGAAAGTGTGTGTTTACAATATAGGTAAGCGCCGTACAAATCAAAAAGTTAGGTACGTCTTCTTAAATTGCTGTATTGCACATCAGAGAACTTTACTTCTCTTTGTCTTGCAAGTTTTTGGCAGTAAAGTAGCATTTTAATGAAGTGCTGCCATCTGTACTCCTTCGTTCATTGTCCTGCCAAGCACCCGGACTCTGCTGACTCTCAGCAAGCTAATGCAGTGTCTGCCGCCCGCTCTCCCTGCCTGGTAGGTTGTCACACACTGACTTTTACTGTCTGTTGATTTTTTTTTTCCTCCCGTTTTGAAAATTTCCTAGTATTTGTCAGTGGGCCTTTCCTTCAGTTTCTGAAAAGCAAAAGCCTCACCAGAACTGGTTTCCTTTCCAGTAGGCTGTGAGCAGGTTTTTTGTTTGCTTTGTACTCGACTTCTTGCATTTGTCTATAATCATTCCTGAACCTGCCTGGGCTGTAACTTATTTTATACTGTTTAGGACTGAGCTATATGACTTCTACAGCAAGGTGCTTTGCCAGTTATTCTTTCATCAACAAAGGCATCCTAATTTCATGGCTAATCTGTTTCTTTTCATTATTTGTAAATCCTGTTAATTGTAAATCAAATACAATGTTGTTTTTTCCACCAAGTGTCAGTGGATCTTTACTGAAACGGGGGGGATGGGTGTTGAAAGGATTTGTAATGCTCCCTCTGGGAGTGATGGAGCAGCAGCGTCCATCAGTCTGTGGTTGGGAAAGGAGGAGTGCCGCACATCCTGCAGATGGAATGCCTGACATCATGCCCTTTTTATTGGCATTTGCTCTGAAAAATGACAGTACTTTGGAGAAGCAAGGATGTAGTGCAACATACCAGAGTGAGGTATTCTTGCCTGATGTATCTTGGGACTGAAAGCCAATTAAAATACAGTCTCAGCAGCATCTCTCCAGAGAGAACAGAAAGCCCTGCTTGAGGAAGTAGGGCTTTCAGAGGGAACATTATAAGTCCCCCATCAGCAGTGACTTGACACAGAGCAATTGCAGGCTGCAGCTGTAGCATGCAGCAGTGCTCTAGCTGGATCCTACCTGTGAGGCAGCTGGCATGTGTGTCTGCTGGCATGTGCCAGTTCATCTTGGATCCATTAGTCATTCTTGGTGCCCTTTTCTCACATCCTGGGAAATTTGTAGGCTATCAGTGCTGCAGTGCCGCCTGCCAGGGAACACAGAGGCAGATATCTGTGAGCAGCTGCAGCTACGAAGAAACTTAATGCCAGCTCTTCAATTTCTTCAAGTCCCCTGTCCTGAAAGCACAAAGCTGGAATTTGAATTGAAGAACTGAGCTTGTTTATTTTATCATTTCCCCTTTTGGCTAAGCTCATCCAGTGCTTGTTTTTCCACTCTAGTGCTCTGTTTTGTCCAGGCCTCGTTCAGTTTTCATTTTAGCAATCTGATTCTTAAAACCTTCATGCTCCTCATTTGGTTTCTGCTGCTCCTGATACCTGGTTCATCTACACTATAAAAGGAAAAAGCTCACTGGGGGTCTCCCTCCTTTTCACCCTTCCGCAGCTCCTCTAAGTGGCACTTCTTAAAGAACAAGAACATTCTAGCTGCCAAACAGAAATCACTTTACTCCACAGCAGCAGCTGTGAGTGAAGTTCCTTTGCTTGGACATCTCCCAGACCAAGACTGGAGGCTGGTGCAGGCACCACCAGCAGGTCCGAATCCCATTGCTGACAGCAGTCTCTCCAAGAGAGAGAGACTTGCCTCCTTACCTGCAAACATGCAAACAGAGTTCTCTTATGACAGGACAAGGTCCCTGCGCCTGCTTGTTTGATATGTAGTAACTCACCCAACTGAACAGGAATGGAGTTTTTTTTGTCTCTGGCCAAGAATTCACTCTCTATTCCTTAGTGCCAGATTTCCCTCTGACACCTTACTTGATCTTTTTGCTGCTCTCTGTATGCTATAGATTTATAAGCAAGGGGTTATGGGGGGAGAGGACGTCAGCTAGCTCACATGTGTGAGGCGTTCATAATGTCTCCTGAAGATGACTTCTCTGATCAGTCTGTTACACCCTACTTACTCCCCCTTCTGCACCCTCCTGTGTTGGACACATTTCTCAGCCTGCTGAGTCTGAGCTGTATTTACATGCACCCTCTAAAGTTGGCCTTTCTGGTAACCTTTTGAAAATAAACAGAGCCATCATTATAAACAAAACCATACAGGGAATTCAGAAATTCAAACTGGAATTCAAAAACTGTTGTAACACGGGAGGATTTTTAGCCAGCTTTTAAATTTTTTAAAATGGCTTTGAGCTTGAAATTCAGCTGTCCTGGACTTACCAGCAGTGATGAGTTTTTGTGGCCAGTACTTTACCATTCCAGGTTCTCCAGCCTTATTAGTAACACAACCATTTTCAGCCATAGTATGCCATTGATAATATGTATTTACATGGCCCAAAAAAATCCAATCTCTGAATCTGATAGGGAAACCCCCCTTTTACATGCTTCCTAGGGTTCCAAAACCTCTATTTATCCTGATAATTTCTCTAGTCAGGGTTCCCATATGCACATAAGCATGAGGTGTAACAGTTCTCTGAGGAGTTCCTTTCTAAAGAATTTGATCTTGAGCAAAGATTGCTTAAGACTTTTCCCAAGTCTGTTGTCTTCTCTTAGAAAAAACATACAGGGGAAATTGTTTGGGCTTTTTTTTCCTTTTTATCTCTGTCTAGAGATACCATTCAGAGCAGTGAGACAGTCAGCTTCAGAGGTTTAGAGGAAGATGTCTACCTGCCATTGACTTGAGTCCTGTGTAATTCTGCCTTACACTCAGAGGAGTTGAAATTTGGCACTTCCAGTCACTAGAGTTGATGCAATGGAAATGTAAGCACTGTTGCCCTTGTGACTTGTTTTCATCCCTCATTCCAAGCTCAATACAGTCAAACTCTGCGCCTCAAGCATTCCAGGTTCTCCATCACACAAAGCTCCTCTCTTAGTTGTCTGTTTTGCCAGATCTGCCTGGAGCACAGGATTCCCTGCAGAATGAATGATAGCAGCACACAAGCTATAATGATCAGTTGGTTTTTTTTTTCCTCAGACTCTACATACCTAATCTGTGGGGTTTTTTATTTTGAGAAACCCTCCTTCAGTTGATGAATGATGGGTTTGAAAGCTGGAATTGTAAACTAGAGTTGGTCTTTTAGCCTCCCTCTTTTGTTAGGCTTTTTCTTGATGGGGCCCAAAAGTGATGGTGGAATTCTTGGTGTTTGACAGTTCCTGCAGAACAAAATGAAAAGAGACTTTCCAGACCCACAGTTACAAGGAAGTTTTCAAAGGTTTTGTTTTCTTTAAATGGTGTCCCCTTTTGCCTCAGTATCAAGGAACATTTCTCCATCCATTAGAGAATAAAGTGGTTTCCCCTGTGCAGGCTTGTAATAACCATCTATGCTGTGAAAGATCACTGCTGCTGTACCAGACAGTCAGGGCTGACTTCTGTCTTGCCGGTGCATACTGCTTGCTGCTGCATGTCATTACCAAAGAGGACAAATCCTACTGTCATTCATAGCCAGGCAATCAAAAGCTATTTCATTTACCCATGTATTCCTGTTTCTCTGCTGCTTCTCAGATAATTGCCATCTGAACCAGAAGAGAGTTTGAGTGCTTTCCTTCTTTTTTTTAAGCTTTTAAAGAACCTATGTGTCTTAATAGATTGGACGCTTCAGAAAGAAACTATTTCTTCAGTGGGACAGAGGACAATAGATCTCATACAGATGTATATGGCTCATCTTAAAAGGAAATAAAAATCCCACCATGAACCCCACACTGTGTTTTTGAAATCCTTTATTCAGTGCTCTAATTCTGAACAATGTTTTTGGCTTATTTAATTGTCCTCAAAATTGAATGTTGAACAAAACTCACTTTTTTCTTTTAATCTACTGTAATAAGAAAGGAGTGAAATGAAAAAATGTATTCCTTTGATACCCTTAATCTTTTCTGTCCTGTGGCTATGCTCCTATTCAGTAAGAGATCATACTTGCTAGTTGCAGAGCCTGGACGCCAATCCATGGGATTTAAAACAAACCCAAATCCATGTTTCCTGCAGCTACATCTAGGTCCATGGCAATGCTCACAATTGTAAAATTGCCTCCAGGATGTTATTTGAAATACTATTATCATGGGTCTGGCTGCTTTCCTCATCTTCCTTCATGTGATCCTTCTTCATGTGAGTTTTCACCTTGTGTTTCACTGGCACTTTCTGAACCACAATGCTACATTCCTCTGAAATCCCAAGGAAGGAAACAATCACTGCCTGAATTAATTATGCACTTTTCATCCCCAAAGCACCCCATGGGCATTCAGACCCTCCCAGGCTCAGCTCACTGGAAAATTATAGAAGTGGATTTTTTTGTGCTAGAGCAGACAACCTCACTGAAATATAAAACATCTCCATCTGTCTAAGGTAAAATACATTTGTTAATAATGTACCCTCCACACACATTACTATTCACATCTGATGTGCATACATTCACATCTGATGTATGAATGGTCCTTCTTAGTTGGTCTGAACTCCACCTAAACTCTGCAGCACTCTACCCTGGACTGGAGGCTGCAGTATGCTAGCCCTAAACTAGAAAGTGACATAGATATTAACATAATTTCACCATTAGACAAGGCTAGATTTCCACAGCTCGCTTGGTGTGGGTGTTTAACCTCATTGCTTCTTTTATCGGACTGAAGTTTGTCTTGGGAGGCTGCTATACGGTTATGATATCCAAAAGTCCCATAATGAGGCCTAAATGTCCAGCAAAAGGAACAGAAAGACTGCCATAATTTTCAGCAGCAGCAGGTTCTTCTGCTCGGCTGTCAATGTATATTCCACCCTTTATTTCAACATGGCCTTATTTTGTTTCCTTACGCACTTGAAGCAGTGACAATCCTCTATTTGTATTCTGGCACATTACTGCTGGAGATGAGATCATCCATCTAGGTTTTGTGCAATTTTGGAGCTACAGGTTTGGTATTTAATAGGGTCATGCCCTGGTGTGCTTACTCCTCTTAGAATAATTTTCGGTAGAGAGCTGTGTCAAGTTATGGGTTTGCTGGCTGTGTGTGAAGATTCATATGCTGATTGCTTTGACCTGCCTATCTATAGCAAGAGCCTGTAACTGCCCAAGTACTATTATAGCTTTTGATTTAAGTTACGGTTGTGATTTTATCTTTATTTTCAGTGAAAGGAAGGTTAGAAATGTTTTGTTTGGCATTTAACTAGAAAAAGTTAATAGATTAGCTGCATCTCTTTAAGAAAAGAGGGAGAAAGGGGAGGTGATGTCTTTTCCCTGTGAGGTGGTTTTGGACTATTCTTTTCTAAAGTTAATGAAGACAGTGATGACAAAGAACACTTGAGCACTGCTGTCACTGACAGACATAAGTTTCTTTGTGGTTAATCATTCATGTCAACTAGCAGGGCAAGTTTTTTAATACAGTGCTTGAATTTAATTTCAATCTGTGCTGTCCATCATCGTCTCTCTTTAGCGGATTTTTGAGATGACAGCACACACAATGTATCTAAGATTAGATTCTGGCTTTAAATATTTAGAGTCTGAATCACATCTATTTGTACTTTATTCCAAGGTTAAAGTAATGTGGCAGG